CTTGCCATTTGTCTATTGTCAAGGAAAGGGGCTTGTTACTTAATGTGTGAAATGCAGTTTCAGTTCTGATGGTCTTGCCATTTGTCTATTGTCAAGGGAAGGGGCTTGTTACTTAATGTGTGAAATGCAGTTTCAGTTCTGGCCGGGGAAGTATCACCCAGATTGTCTCCTGGATCACAGACATCCCCTGCTGTTACATGACACTGTGGAAGTCTTTAGGAGAACAGGAGACCAATCTCACAATGAGATCATGCAGGCACAATATAAAGCACAAACGGGGTGAAGGGCGCATTTTAATATTGGATGGAAAATGGATGGATGGACACCGCAATTGCAACATTGTGTTGTTGTTGTTGTTGTTGTTTTGTTTTGTTTTTTTTGCACTAGTGGAATATTAATTTTTGTGCAGATTTGTAATGGAAACATCTGGTGACAGAAACCAAACGTCTCACATAGATTCTGCTGAAATAAATTATTTTGAAAAAAAACAAGATCACACATTTTCCCCTTTTCCTGGCTTTGTTACATCAGTGTTGTGAGTCTAGAAAGAACGTGTTGTACCCTAAATAGCCGTGGTCCCGCTATAGAAAGAGCTCAGTGACCTGTGCAAGAATTTGCAGCGAGTGAAAGAAAAAGCTTTGATGCTGCTTGTCTGACTGACACACAATGAAAATAACTGGAACTGGAATAAGTGTGTCAAACAAATGTCACGAAAACCACCTAAGTGAAAAATAGAAGGGGCCCAAGAAAGAAGAACCAAGTCGAGGATAGGAGATATACGGACATTTAGCATTTAGTTCAGCCGTGAGAAGCTTACAGTCAGCAACGTGTAGTAGTTCATTCTAAAGTTTAGGCTATGCTCTTCTGATTTGAATAAAGTAATGCAATGTGTCATACTTTTATATTTACGTATCTGTTATGATTTATAAGTTGTTGTTTTTTTAAATGAAAGGCGCGGTTGGCAGCACTGTTGCCTTGTAGCAAGAAGAAAGTCTGGAGTTCAAACCCCAGCATGTTCTCCCCGGGTACTCCAGCTTCCTCCCACAGTCCAGAAACATGACTGTTAAGGTAACTGGCCTTTCTAAATTTCCCTAAGATCTGAATATATGTGTGTGTGTTTGTGTGTGTGTGTTTGTGTGTGTGTGTGTGTGTGTGTGTGTGTGTGTGTGTGTGTGTTTGTGTGTGTGTAGGTGTGTGTGTGTTTGTGTGTGTTTGTGTGTGTGTAGGTGTGTGTGTGTGTGTGTGTGTGCGTGTGCATGGTTGTTTGTGCTGTGTCTCTCTGTGTTTCCCGGTGATGAACTGGCACCTTGCCCAATGACCGCTGGAGATAGGCACCAGTTCCCGTGACCCTGCACTGACAGGCGGGTAAAGACAATGAATGGATGTTTAAATGTGAGATACACAGTAGATCAAATCAATGATATGTTTTATCAGTTTTAGAAGCTGCAGATTAAGCATCTTAACCTCAGTGGTTTGAGGAAAGCAACAATCATCTCCAAGATAGGACACTGTATTCTGAAATCTGCTCTAGAACACAATCTCAGTGAGATACTTCAAGTTCTATTTTTGTTCTTGGCTTGTAGCTACTAATTTCTGAGCTTCCACTGAACATGTTTCAGCCTGAACATGTTTCAGCCTGAACATGTTTCTGTAAAGCAGAACTGTACCCACTCTTCAGAAATTCAGAAATTATTTATTGATCCCAAAGGGAAACAAATGTTGTCGGAACTCATATCATCCAAGTATCTCCAACGAGTTGATGCGGACGGTCATGCTGCAGATTGGTGGTCAGTCATGGGACAAATCTGAGGAGGCCTCTGACTGAAGAAGCTGTTGCTGTCTGTCAGTCACATGAGTGCCATACATGATTGTCATGATGTGCTCAATATCCAGTGACAGAGATTATATTTCACCATAGCATGTTATGACACCATCAGTTGAAGGTAAGCACTGATAATCTGCCTCACTTGCTTTTGCAGCTATTGATTAGAAAATCCTGAATTTTCAGGGTGATGCTCCAGGTTAGTTTTCCATCAGCTGCGATGATTTCGAGCGTGCACCCTGGAGTGGTTAGTTTCTCCAAAATCTCTTAATATATGTGTCTGTTGCCTGTTGCCATATCCTGTTGATGCTGTCTGTGCTCTTCTGCCGCAATTGATAAAAAGTTTTAGACTTCAGGTTTTGCCTGTCTGGCCAACTACTGGCTTTCATCACAGATTGAAAATGGTGGCTGAGATGTTGACGTAAACTCACAGGCCAGTCAACAGCTGCCAGTCATATTGCCTGATCGTAATATCTGACTTAGTCCGGCTTGAACCAGCCCTGAGGTGATTCCGAAAAAAGGGGAAGAACTGCGTCACGTCTGCAAATGGAGATGAATCTGGTCGGGGTTGAAGAAAAAGCTGTGGAAAACTATAAAAAAATTCTACAGAGGAGATGAACTGAGTCAAGATTGGACTACGCTGTGCGGTGCGGTGCGCATAGTTGCTGAAAAACCCCGACTGTGTTGACTCCAAATTGCAAATTACAGACCTAAAAGCATAAAAACTGACTTTATTAGACATGTAGCCATAGAATTACCCACTCCTCGACCACTGACTATTGTAACGCAATACACATTTACAGTACATTGTTAAACTGAACCTTCAGTGCAATGCAGAAGTACACCAATTCCCCTTTTCTTTCTAATCTGGCTTGCAATGAAACCTCTCTGCAAGACAGAGCATGATCCCAGTAAGATGTTCCAGTAAACGAAAATGAGGGGATTGCCAACAATCAGGGGAATACACGGACATTAACAGGTTCATGGGAGCTGAGTTTGTTTTTATTATCACACATCTGATTGGTCGGCAATAATGGCTGACATAGAATAAAAGCTGGCTGCCAGCAAAAACATTGCTTAACTGTGAGCAGAAGAGGGAGAAAAATATCCTGCACTCAGACAGGCAGCAGTGAAGGTCTGTGTGAAGAACATGCAGTTGGGCAACAACACAGAAACTGAAACCAGACTGTGGTAAACAGGTCTGGAGATAATAAAGAGGAACTAAAGTCATATGGCTTTGATGAAGGCGGGGATTAGAGTGTTCCTCAACGATCCCTATTGGTTCCTTTGATTAAATCATCTGGCTGTGATTGGTCTCTGCACAGGCAACTATTTAAATTCACTAAAAGGATTACTGTGAGAAGTGTGTCAGCTCAAGAGCCAAGAATCACTTGCTGCTCCTGTGGCTTTAGTGAATGCCGACATGTGACTGGATGCTGATGACGATATTGATGATGATGATGATGATGATTAACAGGTTTCATGAGAACAGTCAGATTATCTAGATAACCTCTGATTAACTGCAATAGTCTCAGATAAACCAAATGCACCAAAAAAAAATTCCAAACCATACCTGTCAGGTCTGGTTTAAATATCCAAATACTATAGTCATATGGTCAAACAGTTCTACTGTAGTTTCATCAGACCACTGGACATGTCTCCAGAAATAAAGATGTTTGTCTCTGTGTGCATTTGCAAACTGCAGTCTGTCTTTTAAATTCTTCTGTAGGAGCACCGGCTTCCTCCTTTCTGAGCAGCCTTTCAGCCGATGACTGTACAGGACATGTTTCACTGTGAGAAATAGTAATCATTCAGTATGCAAACTTCTGATTTTGAAGACATTAATAAATACATCCCTGACATATTCTTTCTCTCATTATTGTGGCATCTAGAAAAATAGAAATGGTATCCTAAAACAAGAGAAGGCTGGTCTGATTAAACAGTAAGATTAAAAAAAAGTGTGTCTTTTTATTCAGTGTGTGTAAGCTTCCGGTTTCAAATTCAGCTTCAATAGACACAACTTGAAATGTAAAAAGCATTTCCTCAAATGAGCTGCCAATACAGACATCATTGTGGTCTTGTTTTTGTTTTATTTGGGAGTGAAAAAAATCTGCCCTCAGGCCTTTAAACCATCTTTCTGAAAGAGGATTATAAGGAATCTTATAACTGTGCCAGATGCTCTAAATCGACTTTCAATTAACAGTGCCGAAGGAGGAAGCTGTCCGAGTATAAAGCTCAGAGCAAAAAATGCTAAATCGCGGCCTGCAGCTCGAGGCTGAGACGAGATCTTATCAGCGTCAGGGAGGACAGACACGTTGACGAGGCAGAACGATTCCAATAATGATTAGGATGATTCATAAAAGGACACGCAGGATATTGACTGTGGAGACTGACACGGCTTCCACTTGGCTTTACGTCTGTAAGGTCAGCGGGCCGTCGGATAGCTTTGTTCCGGTCCCAGATACAAATCAAAAGCTTATCTGTTAAAAATCCCTGAGGGATCCTCTGAACTGCTGCTAACTACACACAAACTAGCTCTGCTATTTATCAGCAGTGTCTTATGTACACACATAGCTGTAGAAATCTGGTTGTGTAAAAGTGTACAGACATTCCAACTGATACTTTAGAATATGTATCAAACTTAAGGTCCGTGGGTCAACTTTTTATGTGGCCCTGACAGCTAGATTTATACTGACATACTAGGTACCTGGATACTGTTGGTTGTATCAGATTTTATTTAGGAATTTCAAAGTAAAGAGGGCTGAAAGAAATGAATACCATGCTAGACAGATTTGAATTTGAAAAACAAAAAATAAACAAACATTAAATTATAAAATATTATTTTTCATCCTGTAAGGTGCTATTTTGTCTACCACAAATTATGTTAAAATATATTGAGGCTGAAAAATCTTAAGGGTATCAATACTTTTACAGGGTGCTTTAGCTATTGTCAAATGTAGATAAAATAATCCAATTGTAAATTTGTGAATATCAACATTGGTCACAATGATTGAAGTATTTATTGTACAGCTCAATCTCTGCATTCAGTATTGCTCAGTGCCTTTCAATTTCAATTTGTGTGAGAGCAAACTGTGGGAGTACTAGTTGGACTTCTGATGCAATACTTCAGGCGGAGGAATCAAACCTACCGCAGCGGGACGGTAGAGGTTTGCCTTGTTGCCTAGATACGAACGCGGAGGGTGGCGCATTCAATAGTCGTATGTGAATGAAACTGGCTCGTTGACGGTGGACATTGTGGTTCCGCGTATCCCCTGTCATCGACGAATGACCTTCCTGGACGGGAGCCCGAATGTCGCCGGTTTCGCTAGCGCTCTGGTGAAGAAGCGCTAGATGCGAAAACAGCGCCATTTCTGTCGGCGTCCATGATACGCGCTGCTACCGCAGCAGATTCCAGAGCTCGAGCTCGGAACGGCAGCGGGAGAGAACTAGCCGCTCCCCTTTCGCTGCTTCTTCACTTCAGGCCACGGCAGGTGAGTAAACCGTCTCCGGTGGTGTTCTTTACATGTTGAGCTTCTCTTGCTCCCGCTTGGTGAATAATATTAAGTTTGTTAACTCCTTCGCCTTATGACGATATGGCGCACATTTGTTGAGGGGAAAAAACGTCTGACAGTCCTCTGGTACCGTGCAGCCGCTGTTCCTCCCCCTCGGTCACAACAACAAGCGTAGCTACGTGAAAGCTAACGTTAGCTTTCAAATGGTTCCAGCCTTTTTGGACACATTTATTTCTATTGTTGGCATTTAGATATTTAAAGCCCGGTACTTTTCGACTGCAAATTCGGCCTAATTGGCGTATTTATGTTTGTCGTCATTTTAATGGAAAGCCGTAAAAGCAGTATAACGCCACCACTGAGCGCAACCTCCCTTCACCTGCCTGTAACAAAGTGTTCTGTTCTTAATGGCAAGCATACGGCAACAGCGTCATTAACCGCAAACGCCTAAAAGTATTTTGGGGTAATATACATATGTCATATGATTAAAAGAGAGATAAGTTCGTGACAGAATACGTGGAGCTGCAGGTAGCTAACTTGGCTAACATGAGCTAAAGGTCGGTGGTCCAGCTAACCTTGCGGTTTGACTGCAAAGCGACCTAAATATCGCCATTTAATAACAGAAGTCACTATCGCCGTGTGTTTGTTAAATAGCTGTACTGTTACCTAATGTTGTTCCAACTAGTTACGGAGCTTGCCTTAACACAGCGCAGTATTGTTTTTGCTACAAACTGCAGGTATGTAACGCCATGTACAGCTGAAACCTTTTAAAATTATTATTGTAGTGTTATTTCATCTTAGCTTCTCATGCTTCGCACGTTTGTTTGCGAAAACTTATAAATTATGAAGCGTCTTGGGAAAGATTTTATTCTAATTAAGTGCATGTTGTATACAGAGAACGGCCGTAAGGGTAAGTTTGACTTGCTGAATGAAGTTAGTATGTTGACAGCGCAGACAGAAACTGGCAGCCGGGGCTAATGCGCGTACAAGAGAACTGCTGGCTTCTAGACAACGGTCAGCCATATTTAGAAACCGCCGTACCGGCCGGGCTCGTTAACCTCTCAGCTGTTCTCTCTCAGTGTGCCTGTGACTCAGTGTTATTGTGCATAAGGGTGCGGATCGCTCAAGTCGTGTGGTAGCGCACAGCAAAGCTCCTTATCTTGCCCTTTTGACGTCTCCAACGGGTGACTCTGTATATGCCACCGCTGAATGACGCCCGGATCAGCCAATCAAATCTCCACAGCCTCCATTTGCTCGTCACGTCGTCGGTGTCCGAACCCGCAGTTTCACCATCTGAAACGCATGCTTTCTGTATTCCCTGCCCACTTCCACCACTTTCTCTCTCCACCCCCAGCCATCAAAAGTGGCTCACAGCGGCGGCGGCGATCCAGGACAACGCGTTTTGCCATGCTCTTTACTGTTTTTGAGAATGGATATAAGTCGAAGTAAACGTGTTCGAGGATTATTCTTATTCTTTTTTTTTTTTACTTTAATTCATGAATTTCAAAACAGACCTCGCTGAAACTGTTTTCATCTTCGAGTAAGCACAGGCTAGCGTGGGACTTCAACATTATTTACGGACAAGTTATATCATAATCAAAAAATATTTCTATTATTACTGTCATAATAATGGTCTCTGTAGCATAAATTTATTATATTAGCTGGATATAATTTTTTTTTGCCTTCATTTATATTTCCGATTTTTTTTTTTTAAGTTTAATGAGCTCATTCTGATTTTATCCGAGTTCATATTTTAAAGGACTAATAAAGGAGATTCTGGAGGAGCCTTGAAGGGCATATTAGTTTTAAATCTAGTAGAAAATGAAGGGATCAACCAATTTAAGCAACCAATTTTGTCTCTAACCTCAAATATTGCACCAAAGTGCTGTCAATTGATTCATCGTTGTCACAGTAAATTCCTATTCATGATGTTTAAAAATCAAACCCACAACTGTCCTTATTATCAGTGATTGATAGTTTTACTATTTTCTCCATTATTTGTTCAATGAAAGCATCAGTAAATACCAATAAATTTGAAAATCCATTTACCGTGTGCAGCTTGGTGAAACAAATCCCACGTCTTTGTGACTGGTGTCCTAAAGAAGTGCACTGCAAACTAGAATGTTTTTCCAAATCTCTATTTGAGGTTGTGGGGCTATATTTGCTGTGACTCACAGTCATACAGTTGCATAAAAAAGAAGTAATAAACAATAAATAGCTGTTATTGTCACTTTTATCATGACTGGGAAGTATTGTGATAAAACTTTAAGTCCGTATCGCCCAGTCCTATAATCACTCGCATTTCAACCGTAAACTGTGAAGATGTTTTCTCGATACCTGAAAAGTTTGAGATGTAAATATGCTGCATTTTCCTTATTCTGCATAAAAACTCACACAGGCTGGTTTTGTGTTCCAGATCGTGCCGGTGCAGTAAGACTCAGTCCCACCATGAACCTCTCTGCCTGAGACAGAAACACGTCTTGTGTTTTGCTCAGCGGCCGGGAGCTTTCAGCAGCCATGCCTTGCCAGTAAAATCACCTTTCCTTTTTTATTTTATTTTCTTTTTTCTTTTGCTTAAAGCAATTTAAAAAAAACATCCTACATGCCTCCCCATGTAGAGCCCCTTAAGTACATCCTGCTGGAGTGACGCCCCACCCCCACCCTCACCTCATCGTCCAGATCGGCTCCGCCTCGTCCCATTTCGCCTTCACTAGCTTCCCGCCATGAGGCTGCTCTGCCTGAAGATGGCCTACACCTGAGGTCCCATGCGTCCTGTGAGCACCGATTCAGACGGTCCTGCTCCTCCTGAGAACCTCTCTTGCCCCTTCCCCCTGCCCGCTTCAGAGATGTCCTTGCTCCAGTCGCTGGGGCCGGTGCAGAGCTGGCTCGGCCAGGAGCTCGAGAAGTGTGGGATCGACGCCATGATCTACACCCGCTACGTCCTGAGCCTTCTCCTGCACGACAGCTATGACTACGACCTGCAGGACCAGGTGAGCTCTCATTCAACCAAAGAAGAGAAACCCTAAAAGTCATTGTTTCTGTTTTTGAATGGTCACATAAGCGATTTTTATTGTTCTTTCTTTTTTTTTCTTTTTCTAGGAGAATGACATCTTCCTGGGATGGGAGAAAGGAGCCGGGAAGAAGTGGGGCAAGGGCAAGAAGAAAGGAGGGACCGACCTGAGTCTAGAGGAGATAAAGAAGCAAGCCGCCGTGCAATGCCTTCGCTCTGCATCTGATGAAGTAAGCTCTGTTTTACGCAGAGGTTGAAATCCTGTGGTTATCAGCTGCAGTTAGTCAACTTGGGTGTTAAGCTTCTGAAATGTTTGAAATAATCTCTAATCTTGGTTGAGGGAAATCCTCACTGAACTCCGCCTTTAGCAATGACCTAACCTGCTATTAAAAACTGCTTTTTATGTTTTCAAGTATTCACACCCCTGTAACATTTTCATATTTTATGTTATAAAAATAGACCTGCAGAAAATAGTGTGCAGTTGTGCAGTGGAACGAAGCTTTCAGTTTTTTAGTAAAAAAAAACAAACCAGAAGACTTATGTGGGTGTGCTTTATTATTTTACCCTATTTACTCTGACGAATAAAATCCATTGCACCTTTAAAACTCAGACACTATATAAGCAGTCAATCTTTTGTGTGATTTGAAGTCAGTTTGGGTACAGATGTGCTTTGTTGGAGGATATTAATGAACAAATAGCAAAATAATGACCAAGGAACCGAAAAGGATAAGTGTAGGGTTAGTGTAAAGCAGGCATCTGCAACCTTTTCCCCCGCTGCTACAAAATAAAACTCGCCTAGAGCTGCAAAAATGTTCCATACATGTGCTACATAAATGTTTTAACAACATTAAGCTAAAATTTATTTCTGTTTTCAGATTTTGGAATAAAATTAACCAACTATTACAAGAGGGGAGAAAAACAATTTTGTAGAATATGAGCCTTTTCTATAAATGTACATTATGAAGAAAGATAAGTAGCATAGTTTGAAGCTAGTTACTTTTAAAATTCTGCCGTAGATATTAAAAGCAGGTTTTGCACAAGAGCTTATGGATAGATCTTAAAATGACAATTTCTTTTTGCATCCATAATTAAAAAATATATTTTTTTTTCTTTTTGTAAGAGTCACAGAGAAGGGGCCAAAAATTCCAAAAATTAGAAAAAAATGTTTAAAAAAGTAACTAAAAATAAATGACAATAAAAAAAGTTTATAAAAACATAATAAATTAAGTACTAATAAAAAAAATATTGAATTAAAGCTGAGTATAAATGAGAGATTTAAATAAACATAAATAAAGCCATAAATATTCCCGCCCCGCTTCAGGATTATGCAAGTTTTGTGTGGATTCCACATAAAATTCACTCTGGTCTCTGTTCACACTGACAAAAACCCTCAAAATTTGAAATGAACACGTTTACTAGGCACTGTGTGCTTTAAGAATCAACTATATTGGTCATTGTTATTTAGGTGAAGTCAGGCGAATGTTGATTGCATGAGACACAACAGCAATGAACAAAGCTGGGTCAAAGCGGGAAGCCAGAGTATTGAAAAAGGGAAGAAAATGCATCGTCACCTTATTTGGGCAGGTGGCCGTAGCTTTTCTCATCATCAGATCAGCACTCCAGCTTTCACCAAGCATAAAGCCACACTGTCCTGCGTTTTATAATTAATGAAGACCAGAAGGAACAGAAGAAAACATTTAGTACAACCTGGCAGAAAAACGCACTTCTGTTTCTGTGTAAAAAGGAAACGGAAATATTGTTTTCTTCCATGACTAAACGGCAGTTTGCTTTAGTCGACGCAACATGAAAAGGTGGAGAGAAAGATCTGCAACACGGGAGCGGTGTCATGCTCCTCTCTGGGGGCCGGACTCTGTGCTCTGTATTCTTAAGCAGTAAGCGCTGCATGTGATTGCAGCAAAGCCGGCCGGCTGTCAGCTGACCGGCATTAGCAGCTATGCAGGAGGAAATAAAAGGACTGGAGCAAAGCGCTACAGCAACACTTTCTATTTCGGACCAGACCGGAGTGCAGCAGGAATCGGTCAGGTTGGAAACAAGAGCAGCTGTTTTGTGGTTTTTCTTGATTACAAACCCTAAGTTTGTAAATGAAGTAATTCATGTTGTGTCGCTTAATTTAAGAAGGCAGTAAATTACAAAGATGTGTTTGCAGTAAATGTTGGCTGATGAAAGCAGTGCATGAAACTCACTGTTCTGCTGCTTTCTTTATTTTTGGAAGGATGTATGCGCTCCTGTTTAATGAACATGCCTATGGTGTCACAAATCAGCTGGCTGCAGTTGTAGCTGCTGGCCTTTATTTACTTTGTTAGTACAAGCATTCTTTCCTCAACATTAGTCATCTTATCTGATTTGACTGAAAAAAACAAGCTGATTGGCCTGTCTGTGCTGAATGTAGAGTACTCAAATTTCGAACTCGGTACTGATGGTAAGAAAAATAATCAATGCTAATTTTGATATCGCTGCAACGTTTTATGGAAGCACATAGTTCTTTCTAGTTAAGAGAAAAAAAATTATTTAATTACAATATGAGAATATTTTAAC